CGTTTTTGCTGGCTGTAGCAGCGCTATAGCGCTGCTATAGCGCTGCACAGCAAAAACGTATAAAAATGCAAAAACGCATAATGTCGAGAACATGTTTGCATGCGCCGTGTTCAGAAGCGAGTGAACTTTGTCATCCGCCTTCACCTCAGCAACGGGGAGGGCCATAATACAACACTACCGTCCCAGCCGACGCCCCTTTCCCCCTCATGCAAAAAAAGAACAAAACGCAGGCAAATGAGTAGCACATGTTAAACTGTAAAGCAACAACAGTTCATACCGTTAATCATCTGACTGCGTCAAGTTTAGAACAAAAGCGCATGATCGCACGAGCAGACCTAGTGCGTTGCTACTTGGATTTTATTAAAAGGTGGTCCGCGAGCCCAAGTTTTCAAATCGGGCCCACGTGTCGCCACACCTGTCTAATGTCTGAGCTCTCTATCTTCAAAAACAAACACATTTCGGCACCATCGCTCGCCATAAGCAACCTGTTTTTTTGCACAGGCGGCAACGGCGTCTACCGCTCGTACTTGTGTACAGTTCCTCAGAAACAGAAACTGCAAGCAGGTATAGCTCAGCGACTGCTATTATCATTTGTCAGTAAAAATTTGGCAATGAAATAGGCCGCTGCGAGCAGAACATCTAATTATCTGGGCTTTCACGCTTCAACGCCTGTTTACGTAGCAGAGGAACAAGTGAAGCAATAAATCAGTTACATTTCGGTCTGTTCTAAACAATCTTGTACTCAAGTAGCAGGATATGCAGCTTGACCGAGTGCACAACGAGCTTAAATTTTCCCAAAGGTGAAAGGAAGAAGCAAAGGACAAACAGGCGGAGTTCGGGACGAGAGAGAGCGGGAAAGCGGGTAATCAAGCAAAAACAGCGGCATGATAATTTTCAAGTTCCTCCTTTAAAATGAACGCTAATTTGATGCGTTATAATTTTTATATGAATTCGTTTGCATTACTGGGACTGCAAAAAATGGAAAACTCTAGGCTGGAACGCAGCAGGTTTGCCGGTGCCTTCATACGCTTTTACACTGAAACTGAAAAAATCGTGCCATTAACCACACGAATGGTTGCTGCTTCACACGTACCTTGTGCACTTTCGAGTGTAATGCACCGTAATTCTTGCATAAAGGGCAATGAACAATTCCCTCGAACGATCTTTCTGTGAAAATTACCTAGCCGTTCAGTAAGCAATTTTCTAACAAAACTTTTAACCGCCCATATGTAAGAACCACGCATACCTCGGGGCTGGATATGAAGTCCTTAAGTTGTACTTGGACAGGGAATATCCCCTCAAAATTTCAGCTTTTCTGATTCCCGAGTTAGCACTCTTCCCGTCAAAATTTTCAAACACTCGTACGTTCAGCCGTATGTGAAGGTTGGTGCCACTGTCTTGAAGTGGTACCTGGCCGGAGAACCCACCAATAGCAAAATTATCAAAATTTGGCAAAATTTCAACCGTGAAGCCTGCTTGGTTGCTGAGTTGAAATACCTGGAAAAAATACCACACACACGCACATTCACATACATACATACACACACACACACACACACACACACAAACATGCAAACACGCACAGCATAAGCTGTCAAAATATGCGTTTTATGCTGTGCAACAGCAGTGACCGCATATTTTCACGGAGTTATCTGCGTGTGTTTGAGTGTATGTGTGTATGTGTGTCCGCAGCAACTTGTCCGCAACTTTCAACTTGGGAACCACAAAAGCTAGGAAGCTGAAAATCTAGGGGAATGTCACCCACTCAAGCATGACCCTGCAAATTTAAATTCAGCCTTCCCGAACCCGCAGGTAACAAGTACGGCCTCGTAGAACTTATGGCGGGTAAAATTAATAACACAGTAATCACGGAAGCTAGAAGGCTGAAATTCTATAAGCATGTCCCCCCACCCATGTGCGGTCCAGAAAATTTAAATTGAACCCTCCCCTACCCGCGGGTAACACGTTCGGCCCCGTAAAAGGTTTTGGCGGGAAAATTATTATCTCGGGAACCACGAAAGTTGGGAATCTGAAATTTTGGGGTTATGCCCCTTATTAACGTGCGACCCTCGCAAATTTGGATTCAGCCTTCATGCATTCATGAGTATCAGGTACGGCTCCGTGGAAGTTTTGGTAGGGAAATTATTGTCTCGGGAACTGCAAAAGCTAAAAAGCTAAAAATTTAACTTGGCATCCCCTACTTACGTACACTCCGCAAATTTTCAACATTCTTGTAGGAGCTTTGGCGAGAAAAATCATTATCTTGCTAAGCAGAAGAATCAGGGGCTAAAAATTTTCGGAGAACGTTTCCTACCTAACCAGGGGCTTAACAAAGTCGAATTTAGTTCCAAAGTATGCCTCGCTCTCAAGTACGATCACGTGAAAGTTTTGCCTCAAAGGATTCAAAAATCAGAAAATAAGGAAGTATATTCACCCTTCGAGGATTTAAGTTCCGCTTTCACGTGCCGATGCGTGCAATTTTTAACTATTTTTCAACATTTCAACCATTTTTGCACAGACCAAAGTGCAAAGCAGTAAAAATCATTAAAGCAGTAAAAATCAACCGTTCAGTGGACGGAATTACACAAAACGCGTGATCGCATCAACTATTTTGACGCGCGCTGCAATTTATTATTGTATTTACATCCATGCAAAAACGCATTAAAAAATTATTTGCCGGCATCAACACAAAGAGCTCGGAATCGCTCCGCCAATGAAAATTACCAAAATTCTTTTGCATCATGAAATCTTCCAGTTTTTTTGGCATATTAACTTACCAAGGTTAACCGAAAAAAGCGAAGCAGAAGGTGTTCTTTGGTGGAAGATTGCGCTTGCACTGCTCACCGATACAGATCCATTATCACTCGGTTCTGGTTCATCCTCGAACATCAAATTGTGCGCTCTTGCAAATTGTTCTGGTGCTAAATTTTCGTAGTGATTTTGATACTGCTTAAATTTTCCTGCTTGAAAACCTGAAATTATGCTTTATCATCTGAGCTCTTGATATTACTCAGTTGGAACAATAACATTCACAGCACAATCATTTTGGACTCAAAAGTTTGTAATCCAGTTACACTGGTCCCGATTGCAGTGACTGCAAAAAAGCAGGTTAGACTTCTGAAATAGATAAATCTAGCGCTGTTGAAACCCCGTTACGTACCGTACAGTTGCTATTTCTCTTTGCTGGTCGGTTGCAACTGCTCAGATTTCAAAAGATTACCTCACACTGATTACCATGCCCAGTGCTTGTAGTACGAAGCTATAAAAGTTATTTCGATTCGATGAATTCAGCGTCTGCGTAAGCTTTATGCCGTAAGCTTTAAGCTTTACGCAGTTTGATGCCATTTGGAGCAGAAAATTTGGTGCGCAACAAGCATTATGCATTCTTGCAGCAATTTAATGTGGGAACACTGAATAAATGCACCAAAACAAGCTATGACTGCATCTATTTTGTGCCGCTTGCTATACAAAAAGAACTGTTTCCGATTCATCGTGTGATTCATTATAGAATTATGATTGTGACACGCATATGTATCCAAGAACAGCAAATGATGCAGGTTTGGAGCTAATTTCAGGTCTTTCATATTTCCTCGTGAAGCGAACTACAAT